AGAAACGTGCAATGCAACCGCCATATGATCCCTAGGTGTAATTGGTTTGCATACAAGTCGACGTAGATACCTCCTGTGACCGCCGTACAGGAAGGAAATTTTCCGGTACGACAACATGTGAGGTCCAGAACCGAACACAAAAGCAGGAATCACCATTCAGAGCGTAAAACGTCGCCGTCCATGACTTATGCATATGAATTCACGTGTTCTCTTCGCGTTTTTCTCCTTCTTCGTAAGGCCAACGCGTCGACCAACGCACATCTTACACCCGTCCGGTCCAGAGCCTCTATAGCAATAATATTGACATAAACATAAAAGTCATTTATGAACATCTGCTACGTTTGCCTAGCATTGTCGTACCGGAGGTTGGGTCGGCAGCAGACCATGAACTTCTCGCCTAGGTAAATACTTAGCGCAGCCAAGAAACATAATTTAGATCTGTTAATTCATCCCATTGGTCTTGGGGTTGCCTTAAAGTCGACGTAGATGCCACCTCCTGTCACCGCCGTATCGGAATGCATTTATCAAGCAAAAGACCCGAAAAGATTATAACCTTGCAGAACTCATTTCAGTGATTTTGGAAAAGAGGTTTAGACCTTGCCACCCCGGCAAGCCAGAAACTAGTTTCGGTCGCAAAACTTTTGTATTTTCAAAGCATACACACGCGTGATACCTAAGAATACGAGAATTATTAACAGTTTAATACTTGTGGAATTTCGTAGGCGTTTGCGGTGCAACTGGCGCGAATAGGTGGTCTTCCTAGCAGGTCTTAATGACGAGGGGTGCCTGACGGCGTTGCATGGACTCCATCGATGCATGTGCCTCGGCATGACGGGTGAATACAAAACGGTTCATATGCACAGACCTCATAGTTTGCAGCATTTTAAGGGAGGTCAAAGGTGTTTCGCACGCAGCAGCTAGTGCAGCTTTGCCCCGAACACTGTATACACGAGTGGCCTACATAAAGGCATACCTTTATACAACGGACTATTAGGCTCTCACAGTTTTGCATGCGTATACATGGTAACCTATAGCCTACAGGCCTATAGACCATGCTGTATACAACAGATCGCCTATAGGTGTGATGTATACGATCATATACGCGAAATCACCTATACTCAGTGTATTTTTTTCCGTAATATATTACGGTTCCGTAATAAAATGGCATATTTGCGTTCTTCGCTCCGTCATAGACCATGATAAAGGCCTGGTACGGTCGTTACGGAGCCGGGGCGGGCCGAAGGCCCCCAGAGACGTTCTATCTTAGTATAAATAAGTTATAAATGAGCGATGGGGCCCAAGAAATTAACTACTATAGCTGGTCAGGGTAGCGTCAGATGGGGAAGAAGCGGCGTCATAAGCAGAGGGAGAGGTTTCCGTCCGCCACGGCCTGCTGGCGACGGCTGATGAGCCCCGCTGGGCAGGCCATGGCCATTTCAGAGTTTGCAAAGCTGGCGGAGATTGTGTTTGTGATGGTGCCAGGGTCAGTGGAGGATGAGAGGCGGTTCTCAGCAATGTCTTTCGTCAAGAATAAGCACCGCAACCAGCTTGATAAGCATCTGGGCCTGTGCTTGCGTTGTTTGCCCAGGACTTCTACACCCGCTCGTCCTTCCCGTATGACAAGGCGGTGGAGAAGTGGCTGCAGAGGGCTGAGAAGCGTGGCCGTTACATGCACAACTGACGAGTTTGCTATGCCCTGGGGCATTGTACTGGCTGTGGTGTCGTGGTGAAAACGTATGACATAATCCTAAACGCATGTGGCAACGGACGGAAACAGCTGAGACTCTAATGAAATATATATATTGAATATGTGCTGGTGTATCAGGTACCCTGTGTGGGCAGGGGGGTCTGGGGGGGCTTGCCCCCCCAGAAAAAAAAATCTGGCAGTAATAAACGTATTGGACTGATGGCATATTTATTACGGAACTCGTAACAGAATCAGGATCGGCCTCCACGAAAAAAAACACACTGCCTATACTCCACATATTCCGCGGTCCTACCTATTAGGCGATGGCCCGGCCTATAGGTGACTTCCAATTTTACTGACGTGAAATGTCTGCGATTCATGATGTCAATTTATGAAAAATGGGACCGCGATATGACCCCAGCCAGTCATGGCTGCACTTTATGACCCCATAAGGTGTTCACTGTGGGCTTATAAGTCATGACCAACAACCCATCATCCCGTGGGCTCCAGACCCCAAGTCAGCTATCACAAATAAATGTATGTACTCCAAGACTCCACAATTTTAAGGCGCAAAACCTCATTGTTTCTGTGGATCACTCAGGTAATTCAGCCAACAGCAGCTGCTGCAGCATCCTATGAATTAAACCGAATTACCTGCAGCTCAACTATGTTCCTGAAGCAGAAGGCATTCCATCATCATTGCCAACTTCGTTCCTGTCAGGTTTTGATCCCAGAACCTCCAGGGACATAAGTGTGTGCACTTGTCTGACCCCATACATTTCTCTATATGCCACCACCAAGCCATCTATTACAGGTCACAAAGATTGTGAACTCCAGCATACTGCTGCATGCCTGCTAACCCACCGCCTTGCGCTTCCCCAGCAGTCTCTTCCTTGCTGGCCCCTGCTGGCCACCTTTGCCCAGCTTGGCTGCTTCTTTCATTGCACCTGCCCTGGCAGCTTGTTTTACTGCAGCAAGCTTAGCCCGCATCTTGTGAGCAGTGATGGCGGTGGTTTCATGGTCAGGCATCCCATATGCACCACCACCAGTGCCACCCATCACCATGGTGTCACCATAATCTGCGATGACATCGTCAAGTCTCTCACCAATCAGGTCCTCCAGAGAGTCACCCTCTGGCTCACAATCAGCAGGCCCCATAATTATTTTGCCAGCAATCACAGCATGTTCAGGTGGCCCATCTCATCAACCAACACTTAGGTGGTCATGGGCTAATCATCATCCCTAATACTTCTCTCTCAGCCATGGCCATATCAGGTGAGCATTCAATCTACTCTTTGACCGGTGCTTCTAAACCTTGTGGCTGTCGTTGCCCAGCCCATCATTTGTTGATGTCAGCTAGTGGCGGCGGGACACACAGCGCCAGAACCTTAGCCGTGTTACCCGCCACCTGCACTGCCGCCCGCAAAACTGCAGCTGTTTCCAGGCCCAGTACACATTCGCCTTCCCTGCCAGCGGAGCTGGGGGGCTGCAGCTGCTTTCCTATCATCTGGGTTAGCTGGGAGGACGCCACAGCCAGTCCCCGCAACAGAGGCTCAACGGTCGTGGTTGCAACAGTCTTATGTCCATTACTATAGCTGATGCCGCTGGATCTTTGTGCCTGTTGCATAAGCTTGCCAACAAATGAGGTCCATGCCTCGGTCGGGGGAGCCACCTCGAAGTTCCACTTCAATTGCAGAGAGAACTTTGGACGAGGGCCATAAAGGGTGCGATAACTGCTAGGACAGTACCACTCGTGTCTGTTGCTGTCCGAATCTGCAGGGTTAATGAAGTCGTAATGAAGGTGGAGCAGGTTGACCCCCTTATTATCGCCAACACCAATTGGTGTTGCAATACTTGCTGTAGGAAGCTGTTGGCGGAGAAGCAGCTTCTCTGTAAGGGCTGGTGACAGCGGCAGGCACTGGTTTCCCGAGAGAGCCAGTTGCGGCTGTAGACAGCCTAACACCGCATTCAGTACCCCCGCCAGGTCAGACAGCTGCTGCACCGATGTGGGGTTGGAGGCAGCAGCGGAAGCGACAGATTGGAGGGCAGCAGTTACGAGTTTTAGAAGTGATTCACAGAAGGCGTTTGTATCATCAAGGCAGGCTTGTCCTCCAAATGTGAACGAGCCTGCCCCGCTGATGCCGGGGATCCTTGACCACAGGGACAGGGCCATCACTGCCGCCAGCTGCGGGACTCTGCGTTGGTTAGGACCATCCGGTAATTGATCCACCATGATGTTTAGGAGGGATTTGATGAGCTTATCCAAGTCCCTGCAGATTCCATGCGGTAAGATGCATCATGTGAGGTTGGTGGGATATCCAAAAACTGCCCTGCATCGATGCAGGCATATGGCATGCAGCGAGACAATCCCAGCCGTCTGCTGCCCTTATAATCCCAGCCATCTGCTGCCCTTATAAGCATGCGATTTTTTATGGTAGACAGGTACACTCTTGTTGGCATTTTTGCACAGCAGCAGCCCCAGCCAGCCATGATCAGGTGTGATGCAATGCACTAGCTGTCCTTACCTTTTTTGGGTGCGGGAGTATGTACAACTTATGTGTGCGTATTTGCAGTGGACCTTCATCTCTGACATTGCGCCATCGTCAAACACATATTGGATAGTCCCATTCGTGCATGCACGTGCTGCATGTCACCATCCCATCCCTTCATTATTATCTCAATGCGTGCTATGCTGCCCACTCCTTAACATGTCGCAGTGCAGGAATTACATCAAAATACCCTTCCAATCTCATATACACCCACCTCAAGCTGAACTTTGCCCAACGTGGACCCGGATCTGATAGCTGTAGGCTTGGCGTGAGGACGCACAGTTGCTCCAAAATCCCCGCATCGCCGCTAACATTACCAGCTGATGACATCATGCCCGCAATGAGTGCGTCCGCTACCTTGTCGGGCTGTAAAGTGGCAATAATTGGCTGGCCAGCACTGCTGGTATCCTGCCCAGATACCCACTCCAATAGCGGACACAAGGCTTTGGCTGCAGCCGACCTCAGCATGCCCGGGTAACACACAGAAGGACTAGAACTACTACTGCTATCACCCTGGCTTGCCACGGAGGTGAAAAGCCCATGCCATTCTGGTCCCGGCATTTCACCTGTAACGACACCCACTGCGGCCTGTATCAGCCCTGTTGCTTGCTCCTGTAGCTGCTCCACCGTCACTCCACCCGTCTCAAGCAATAATGTGGTGAGGAGCAGGAGGCTTGCCGCACAGGAGCCGTCAGTAAAATCTGCGACTGAACTATCCCCTAACAGAGCTTTGATGGCAGCCAGAACAGAGCCTGACATGGCATGCGGACAGCCACCAGGAGCTAAGGCAACTGCTACAGCTTTTGCCAGGCTATTAGGTGCAGAGCTCAGGCTCATGAGGAGCAGCAGGGTGTGCAAGGTGCGGATAGCTTCCGGAGGTTCCAGCTGCAGAAGGGGCAGCAATAATTCTGCCATGGTTTCATCACTAGTGGCTGTGGAGACGCGTGGCGGACTGCCCGCCGCCATGCAGGCGGCCAACGTTGCAGCCAGACACGAGAGGGAATTTTGGGCGCTGGTTGTAAGCTCGATCGGTGTGCAACCCAAGGCTTGTGTTGTCACTGTACAAGCTGCACCATCGCTCTTGCTGTTGCTGCTGCCATCTTCACTCTCCAGTATCTCCGTAGCTTGTATGGCCTTGGCTGACTGTGTACCGGCCGCCACAGATTTAAAGATCGCTGCAACCATGCCATCGCAGTTCAGCGCTGCACATGCAGCGGCAACACGGTCCGTATCCGTGGGTCCGCACTGAACCACAGAAGACAGGGCGGAGAGTACCTCTGCACAGCCGCAGCCACTGGCAATGCATGCCGCCAGCGCGCCAGATGCCTCCTGCAGCTGATCAGGGCTGAGCAGGTGCAACACGGGGGGCCGCAGAACGGCAGCGGCAGCAGTCACCAAGGCAATTTGCTCCGCATCAGGTGTGGCATCTGATTCCATGAACAGTGGTGGCGTGCTAGACGTAGTGCCTGCTTGCTCCGCTCCGCTCTCCCGAGTACTAGTGCAGCTTTTTCCCGCGATTGCGTCCTGCTGCTTCTTCTTCTGCTGCTGCTGAGCAACTGAGGTGATGGTGCCCACACAGCGAAGAAGCGCCTCTCGAAGAATTTCGGCAGTGCTGCCGCCCTGCACAGATGTCAAATTGGTGGGGCATGCAAGAGATTATTCAGGATGCGGGGTTAGTCGGGGGCTGCGTGCAGAACACTCATGTTATTGTGTGCGGAAGGTTGATCTTGCCTGATTCCTAGCTCTACTTGTTCCATCAAACATGACCGGGTAGCAGGCAGAGATATTTATCTGTGTATAAATATTGAGCTAGGAATGCATGTGCATTTGTATGCATGTAGTGTGGGCTCTTCACTTGGACCACTTCATCGCATGAAGGTGAGCGAGCCCAGACATCACGTGATGCACGCGATTGCACCTTGACTCAACCTCCCAGGTATTTCGAAGCACCCTCATCTAGCCACCCTAGTCAACTTCTCAGTGGATCGCCCAGGTTCTGCAACCACCACCGGCATCAAACGGAATCTGCCGGACCGACGGCGGCTGAACTGCATTCCTGTTCAGCTTGCAAGTATCCCAGGTCACCACCTTCCATTGACTAGAGGCACTTCACCTTCCACCACTGGAAGGATTTTCGACCTTAACTGGTCTCGATCCCGGGATCTCCCGGGGGCATTGGTGCGTGCTCTGCCAGTTAATATGTATTGACCGTGTGTGCCATGCCGTGCGATGGCTACCACGCGCACTCGCATACCTTGGTTCTCCAAGAAGCATCATCCGCGACCTCAAACAGCGCCTTCCCCGCCGCCGCTAGTGCTGTTGCAGAATCTGTGAGTTCGATGATCCGGCAAAGCCGCCTCATGACCAGCAGGTTGTCCACGGCGGGTCGCAGCTTCCGATGTGTGACCAGGCTCACTAGGGCCCGGGCTGCAGCGGACTGCCTGTCGGGAGAACTGGTGCCCAAACCAAGAACCTCCAAACACAGAGCGATGGACTGCAGATCGGTGCGTGGGATGTGTCGATAGGGAAATCAGCAAGGGCCAGGAAAATTGTGATACCGTATGACAGCCGCACGCCTGATGATGAAGCACTTTTCAGAGAGGCAGCTTGAAATTGTTGTTGTGTATTAACACGAGCGTGGACACCTCTATCGGGTGGCGTAAGGTAAGGAAGGTATTTCGGGCAGCCTTCGTTGTGTAGTTCGGTGACGCACGCCACATACAGCAAGCTTAGGATACCTAAACACCAGGTCAGATAAGTAGGAAAGGACAGCAATCATACACACAGTCATGCACCGGAACATGCGTCGAAAGGGTTGCGTGGGAAGTGTAGGCTAGGGTTGAGGTTTACTTCCTGTCATGCCTGTACAACTGTTCCCGCAAACATACGACGTATGGGAGTGATGACTTATCCGCACGGCGAGCGAGATGCGGATAAGTGCGCCTATCGACATGTGAGCTCATTCGGCACGGTGAAATTCGCATCAGTGATTTTACAAATGCCCTCACTCTCATGCACCAGATGCGTACCCTTGACAGCTCCACCTGCCCCTCCAGAACCAGCTCCGCCAGCTTGCCCTGCTGGGTGATGGCATCCAGCATCAGGGCTTGCATGCTGGGCCGCGGAGCCTCTAGCAAACTGTAGCTGTCGCTCTCCGTGTCGGAAAGTAAGAAAGCCATGCTACCGCGCACTTATGGCGGCAGAACCGGTGCTCGGATTGCGCTATTATCGAGGTAAGTTGACGCAAAGGTTCCGACGTTGCAATACTCGCTCACAGCACTTGTGCGTTATAGCTACGGGGGGGACAAGGATGCGCTTTACTGATTACTTTCGGTGGCTTTGCGCGGTAGATGGAGAGGGGCAGAGGCACGGACGGACAGAGAAGCCCACCGCGATTTTTCCGGTTTCTTCACAGGAAGCTTTCTGATGTCAGAATGTTTCTCTAACTGCGTGTTCTGGGATTCCTCAGTCGTCGGCATCACAACGGCAATGGCGGTTAAGTACAAGAAATACATACTCGGCTATATACGCTCCATCTGGCGAATGAAAATTGCGTCATCGATGCACTTCCAAAGAATATTAATGTAATTCGTCCCTTACATGTAGCTATATATAAATCAAAACTTCACCCGTGAGGAACTCATCGGATGAGTGATTCACTGGTGTACGGTCGCAGGGCTGTCTGTGAATTCGTCAATTCGTAAATCGTCTCCCTATCGGCAATCTCCTCTTTGTGTGGCAGGTTGACTTTGGAAAGGCCTTTGATCGGGCGCCGCCCCAACTTCTCTATGCCCGACGCCCTGATGGCATGCTATGATAGGGTGATTTTGCGTGTGCGGGTTAACAGGAAACTTGGTGATCCCTTGGAATTTATGCAATGTGTCAAGCAGGGCTGTCCCCTCAGTCCTAGTTTTCGGGTTCTTTGTTGGCGGCTTTGCGGATTATGTGGACGCGAAGGATAAGCATGCCCCGGCCATCATGCATGCGAGTGCATGCCCGTTAGTCGACGGCACTCGCGTCCCCCTCATGTTATACGCAGAGAATCTCAACCTTGTCGTGTTTCGCCATCGGCGCCTGATGTGCCTTCTACAGGCACTGTCGGAGTGGTGCACTGCCTTTGGCCTGTCTATTCACAATCGTAGTTGCGAGGCCGTGTACTTTCATCCGTGCCGAAATTCGAGACCTTGCATACCGCTTGGTGATGGTTGGAATGACATAATAGGGAAGGCGTGTGGCCGTGGTAACGCCGGTACGCATACTCATGAATGCATGCACGACAAAGCCGCCGCATATCGCGCGCAACGATGCAGCAAGGATGAAGTATCCAGCTGATCGAAAATAAAAAAGTAAAATATGCTGGCCTGTCAATCCTGCGTTCATGGATAGATTGCAGCACCTACTAACCTATTTTTCTACCTACCCACCCTGATGCACCTATCGGCAGACATTTCTCTATTTCTGATATGGCATTATACAATAATGCATCGCGCGTGTATGGCACAAGTCCCGGCATGAATAGCAAGCTGATTATGCCGGGTAGCTAGGCGTAACGCGCTGGGAAGTTTATGTTTACTACTGCGATGTCATTTCCCCTGCTTCATCCAGCTTCATGGTTAATGACCTGGGCGACCTAAACGTAGTGTGTGTGTTCACCTTGAGCAAGCTGTCGTGTTATTGGTGCTATCCTAACCAAGGTCGCTCGCAGGGGAAATCTCCCCTGGTCGTTTGGATGCAGCAAGTCCGCGTTTTGTCAGCATCAGGCGTGAAGTCTACGTACTGTGCGTAGATACAATGGCCCGCACCCTCCGGCAGTATACCTTTTTGCATGGCTGAGCCAGAGGGTTGCAAAAACGGTCTAATCCCCCAATCCCGGGGGGTGGTAGTGGTCAGCCATCCCCCCATCCTGGCTGGGGTGACCGACTCCCATCTCCCATCTTAGGGGCCCGGTGCTAATCCCATCCTTTGAGACAGGTTTCCCATCCTGCCAGCCTGGGTCCCATCCCCAATCCTATGGCCAGGGTTTCCAATCCCATCCTGCAGCTGTGTTCCCCCAATCCTCATCCTGCCAGCCAGGGTCCCTTCCCAATCCCTTCGACCAGGGCCATCCCCATCCTGCAGCTGTGTTCAGATCCGAAAGCTGTCAGCCAGGGTCCCATCCCCATCCCTTGCCAGCTACAAACCTACTCCTTACGTTTACACAGGTGCTGTAATATCGGCTTTCTCTTTAGGCGTAAATCAGGGGAATGACCAGGGTTATTTTCTATTTCCGCGAGATATTTTTCTCTTGCTCTATGGCTTATTTCCTCTAGCGTCAAATTCCGCCCGGCTGTGTTCGTTCCGAAGCAGACTGAAGCGACAAACGCTCGTTGAAGCGGATCTCGACTGAGGAAGAACTCGCATCACAGAGGTCTACGTATCTAATTGCACACTGGCTGCTATTGCAAATCGCGCGTCCTAAGGGGGGAAGGACTGTTATGTTCGAAGGACGGCCACAGCAACAAATTATAATGCTGTGGTTAGAATGGCAGAACGTACAAGGGTGTTCTGTCAAAATGTCCATG